TTTTTCCCAATACGGACCTCCCGGCTGGTGAATAACATATATTTCTTAACTCTGAATATGCTTTTAAAATTCCCTGCATGATACCAGAAGCATGTACCTTTGGTTTAGCAGTTTGAAAGGAAGAGAGATGCTTTTTTTAAAACGATAGTTTTGAAATTAGGCCGGCATGCAGTCTCACACTTTGATCGCTAAACAGTGAATCGCAAATCCTTCAAAAAGGAAGAGCTGTCCACTAAATACAGGATCTGTGTAGCAATTTCAGTTATATCAAGTGTCCGCTTCTATTTGATTATGGTGTACTAGTACATTTTAGAAAAAAAAAAATTAATAAAAAATAAAAAAAGCGGTAGAAATAAAACAATGGATAAAATAGAAATTGGACTAGTGTTTGCTTACATCAGGCATCCGCTCAAAACGGGTCCCTGACTCAGTTGCTGTGCTGCAAATGGTGACAACAGTGCTATTGGTTCGCTAACCCCCAGTAAGAGAGTTGGATATTTCCCTTTATGTGTTCTCATTTGCATTCTCTTTCGTAGATGAACCCAGGACTAAAAGGCTAAATGAACAGTAAATGGTCAGATGCAGTGATCTATCTTCGTTTTTACCTGTTTCGCAATATTTACCAATGAAACCTTTCTCACAGACACAGTGGAACGCATAATTTTGATAGTCCATCCAACAGGTACCTTTGTTTTGACACGGATAAGACGAACATTGTGACTGGGGAAAAAAAACACACACACACACAAAAAAAAAAAAAAAAAAAAAAAAAAAAAAAACGCATAATTTTGATAGTCCATCCAACAGGTACCTTTGTTTTGACACGGATAAGACGAACATTGTGACTGGGAAAAAAAAAAAAAAACACACTCACAAAAAAAACAAAAAAAAAACAGATGCAGTATTGAATAATGGAGACTTACTTGAATAAAAAATTAGAAGTTCAGAATTCATGCCTAGTTCATTAGTGGCAGCATTGAAAAGATACAAAAGTTTCTCCTTTCTTATCGACAGCTGGAAAATTAAAGAGCACTCTCATGATGCTTTCGATTCATCAAAGTGATCTTGGATTTTAAGATATGCACTGTGCTAGCGACCGTTAGAATGATGTGCGTCAGAAGTAGAGTTTTTAGTTCTCTTCAAGGTTCTTTAAAAATTAAAATTTGTGTCAAAAACTGCTTCACGCCTCTCTGAAAATAGACGACAGAAAAAAAAGAAAGAGAAAAATTAAACGATAATCGTGGCCACCCTGTCATAAAAAGCTGGAAACTAATACAGTTTTACTTCGATGGAAGCAAACGACCGGTCGTATCGACGGAGTTGTGAAAAACCTTAATGGCGTTCTCTGAAATTGCATGGCTTCAATTTGTTTATTTGATTATTTCTCCTAGCAGAAGCGCAGAAACGGAGATGTATCGGTGCGACTACAGATTAAACGATCCTCACCACAACGGAATAATGGTGGGAGCTCTTGTTTGTTTTGAAGTCCTCGGCGTTTCTGTACTTGTCAGAAGACAACAGCTCACACCAAAACTTTCCATCTGCTCCTTTGGCGGCGGCCATGTTTGTGGAAAGGCACAAAGGGATCTTGAGACATGAGAAAGTACACTCCAATTCATCGACCACGGTGGATAAACCAACTTGAGGAACATTAAGGTAGTATTGCTCGGCTTTTAACAATATAAGTTCTCTGAAATTGTCAAAGACAATTTTGCCTTTTTTTCAAAGGAAAAAGGAAAAAGGAATGAGACACTAAGTAAGAAAACCCTTCATCATTTGGCTTGTACAATTCCTCAATCGACGAAGTAAAATAAAGTTAGTGGAGTTGAATCAATTCTGGTTTGGTCGGCTGGCGTAGCTACCTATCATGGTGGGCTATAAATTTCCTTCAGTAGAAGGTGATGTTTCCTCATCAGGCGCTGCTCAGCTCAAACAGAGTAAAAAAACGTTCAATCACTCAAGTTTCGTTCTATTTTGTCATCGAGGTTCACTTCTGCCACAATATTATATAAAAT